ATACTACTGAATATACATCCAAAGGAAATGAAGTCAGCGCGCAGCATGGATGCCTCAATACTCAGGTTTACTGCAGCACTACTCACAGAGCCGAGTTAAGGAACTGGCCTAGATGTGCACCTCAGATGGGAGAATAAGAGACGGCATGTACACAGCAGAGTTACTCAGCCATAGAGAACACGGGAATCATGCCATCTGTAGGAAAACAGATGAGACTGGAGGTCGTATGAAGTGAAATAAGCCAGATTCAGAAAGACAGATATCCCATGTTCTTCCTAATATGCGGAATCTAAAGAGATGCCAAGCAGAAGGGAGACTATCATTAGAGAAGAGGAAGGGGAGAGGGAAGGGAAGGGAAGGGTGCAAAGTACAGGTAAATACGGAGCATCAATAGGACCAAAATGCATCACCACATCCAAATGCTTTCCCCAAAACATGTGCAACTAGCAGAAAGGTAGGGTAGTTAGTGACGGGAGAAATGATGAAAATGTCATATACATATAAAGAAAGTTCTCCATTTTCCCTAGTTTGCAGAATAATCCACCTAAATATTAAACTCTTCTCAGTTTATTAAAAATCCTCTATTCTCAGGCCGGGGATTTAGCTCAGTGGTTCTGCTGCCTGCCCTGCAAGTGCAAGGGCCTCAGTTTGATCCCCAGTACCAAAAAAAAAAAAAAAAAAAAAAAAAAAAAAAAAAAAAAAAATCCTCTATTCTTAATTTCTAAAGTAGCTTTAATTAGAAGTAGGGTCTCTTAAACTGGAGCCAGATCTTGCCAACTGCCTCCTGAACATGCACAAATGTATATCTTTAATCCCTTCCTGTTTTAATATTTGGCTTGGTTCTTCTCAGAAACACTGCAGACCAGGAAAGCTTCCTTTGTATTTGCCTCATCTCTGTCTCATCTCCTCCTCCAGTTTTGATGTTGCTCTTACCCGTGTTTTTATATTTCCACTTTATATGCAGTATTCATGACCAGTAGCACTCTTGTTGTCTCTTTAACAGATTTACATAGCTGGGCACGGTGGTGCACGCCTGTAATCCCAGCACTCTGAAAGGCTGAGGCAGGAGGAATGCAAGTTCTAGCCCAGCTGGGCAATTAGGTAATTTACCAAGATCTTGCCTCAAAATAATATAAAAAAGCTAGTGATGGGCCTCTGAGAAGGCCCTGGATTCAAGCCACTGTACTGCACAAAAAGAAAAAAAAATTACATATGATAGCATATTGTATGTAGTTTTTAGCTTTCTCCTCAACGTGGTGTTAAGATTTATCCGTGCTATAGTTGCAGATCTGGTTTAAACACTTTTCTAAGATTTCACTGAATGAATATAACATTATCTATTTATTGAAGGCACTGAGGTTTACAATGAGAGCAATTTCAATTGATCCACTTATTATTATTTTTTTTTTTGGTATGGGGAAATGAACTCGGGACCTTGTGCTTGAGAGGCAGGCGGCAGCACCACTGAGCTAAATCCCCGGCCCTCAACTGATGTACTTCTCAAGCAACCACTAGTTCCTGTCGCCTATTTGTTCCCCAGCATTTACTGACCACCCAGGTGTGACCGGCCTCAAACCCAGTTGTAGACCTGCACACCAAGACCTCCATGGGGTGACAGAAGTGCAGACTCTGCCTTCTGAGAGAACGTGTGTGACCCCTCTTCCAGCCTTGACTGTGTTACATGAATCAATTTGTTCAATGGGAAGAGTTCTTCAGTTTGTGGTTTAAATTCTGTAAGTGAGGCACGTATCAGCAGCTTTCTTGCATTGTATTTTACAAACCCTGACTGGTTTCAGTAAATGTATCCACTTGTGCAATGCTCACTATCCGATGGTGCTCAAGCACCTCGTACCCCACTGTAGTCATCCCCAATTCCATGTCTGTGTACAGCTGCTCTTCTGGACGGACATTTCATGAAAGCAAACCATGTAGCACTGGTCCTCTGCCTTACATTTCTCACACAGCTCCTGCAGTTCATCCTTATCATGGCTCTGCTCACGGGCATTCGGGCTGTTTCCACTTTGGGCCATGACATCCGTGTGTAAGTGTGTGGATGCATGCTTTCATTTCTTCTGAGTGCATTCTGGAGACAGGAGTGCTGGGTCACATTTGAAGAAATGCTATAGTTTCACTTGGTATTTCCAGATATTGAGCATTTTTCATGTACTTATTAGGTATTCATGTATCTTCTCTGATGATATGTCTACTCAAATCCTTTGCCTAAGCCGGGCATAGTGGCACATGCCTGTAATCCCAACACTCGGGAGGCTGAGGCAGGAGGATCGCTGTGAGTTCGAGACCAGCCTGGGCTACATAATGAATTCCAGGTCAGTCTCAACAACATAATGAGACCCTGTCTCAAAAAACAAAACAAAGAACAAATCCTTTGCCTATTTGTCTATCTGTATGCATGCATGCATGCATCCATCTATCTGGTTTTTTGAGACAAGGTCTTGCTTCTGAAGTTCAGGCTGTCCTTGAATTTACTATGTAGTTGTCTGGTTTTGTTTGTTTTTTGTTTTTTGAAACAGGGTCTCACTGTGTAGTTGAGACTGACCTGGAACTCACTTTGTAGCCCAGGCTGGTCTCAAACTCACAGCAATCCTCCTGCCTCAGCCTCCCAAGTTCTGAGATTACAGGCATGCGCTACCATGCCCAGCATCTATCTGGTTTTTTGAGACAAGGTCTTGCTATGAAGTTCAGGCCGTGCTTGAATTTACTATGTAGCCCAGGGTGGCCTCCTGATCCTCCTGCATCAGGCTCCTGAGTGCTGGATTACAGGTGTGCACCTCCACACCTGGCTGTTTTTGCCCATTTGAAAAAATGCTTTAGGGAGATGTAGCTCAGTAGCAAAGTGCTTGCCTAGCCATCACGTGTGAGGTCTTGGTTCAATCCCCAGCACTCCCCACCAAAGTTTTAAAATTTATTTTTAAAATTTTCTTTATTACAGTAAAAAGCTGCTATTAAATTTACCATCTTAATTTTATGTAGACTGTTCAGTAGTGTCAAGTATATTCACGCTGCTACGTAAAAGATATTCAGAACTCTGTTGCTTTGCAAAACTGAAACTCTATATCCACTACATGTTATCCTCATCCCCTGCTCTGGCAGCCACCTGCTCATGTCTGTCTCCATGATTCCGGCTCCTCCAGCCACATCTCCACGAGTGGACTCATACTACAGTCCTTTACTTCACTTCACATAATGTCCCCAAGGCGCAGCCATCGTGTACCATGTGACAGGACTGTTTCTTCCCCAAATGGGACCTCTTTTTTTTAATAAGGATACATAGTGTTCTTTGCCCATACTGCATTTCTTTACCCATTAGTCTGTTGATGGTTGCATGGCTCACTTCCAGCTCCTGACTACTGTGAATAATTCTGTGATGAACATGGGTGTGCAAATAACTGAGTTCCTGCACTCACTTCTTGTGCCATGTACCTGAAGTGGCCCTCCTGGATCATAATGTAATTCTATTTTTAATTCTTTTTCTTTTTCGGTACTGGGGACCGAACATGGGTCCTCGTGCTTGCAAGGCAGGCGGTGGAACCACTGAGCTAAATCCCCAGCCCTCTATTTTAATTTTTTTGAAGAGTCTCCATACTGTTTTTCATAACGGCTGTAACATTTCACGTTCCCAAACCCAGTGAAAAGGGTTCCAATTTCTGTGGTACTGGGGATTGAACTCCTCCAAGGTAGGCATGTTGCCACTGAGCTAAATCCCTGGCCAAGGGTTCCAATTTCTCTGGATCCTTGATAACACTTTTCTTGTAGTCTATATTTGTCTTAATTTTATTACTTTTTAATTTTTTTGGTAATGGGGATTGAACTCAGGACCTTGCACTTGTGAGGCAGGCGCGATGCTACTGAGCTAAATATCCAGCCCTGTATTTGTCTTACTTTAAAACATGACATCCTTTTTTGTTTGTTTGTTTTTTGAGACAAGGTCTCACTATATAGTTCAGGTTGGCCTTAATCTCAGCAATCAGATCCTCCTGCCTCAGCCTCCCAGTGCAGGGATTATAGGCGTGGGCCAGCACACCTGGCAGGACCATATTCTCTTAATCACTCTAGCTGTTGTAAACAATTTTGAAAGAAAGAAGTCTGAGTCCTCTGACCTTTTGTTCTTTTCCAAGTTTGTTTTAGCTATTTTGGTACTTTGCATTCTAAAACCTGCTGAATCTACCCATATACCAGTTTTGGGAAAACTTGGTATTTTGCTACTGAAACTACAAAGGAAAAAAAAGAAGCAACTGCATCTTGAGATGCTTTGCTCATGGGACAAAAGAAACACTCCAGAAAGATAATATCCCACAAATATAAGGAATAATCTCATACAATATTGGTATATTGTTTAAAAAGTCTTTATTAAATATATATGTATGTGTGTGTGTGTATATGTATGTGTGTGTGTGTATATATATATATGTATATATATATATATATATGTATATATTTATGGATAAAAAAGTATGTCGTCTGGGTGCTCCAGATAGTCTGGATTGGAGGAGACCTACACAAGACCACCCATGTAAGGGTAATTAATGAGGCTTAGGAACAGGGAGAGGAGGGAGAGCCCACACTAACACTCTCTTTAGTTTTGTCCATGTTGCAAATTTTCGTAATGAAAATATTAAGCAAGGAGACAGTCTGGGCTGGACATGGGGGTGCACATGTTAGTCCCTACTACCCAGGAGGCAGAAGCATCACATCTGGGCCCAGGAGCTTGAGCCCCGGCCAGGTGACACAGAAAGACACCTGATCCCAGTGTCAGCTCATTGCCTCATTTGCAGACATTTTTAGAACTGATACTGTGCCTTAAAATAATCTATTAAGTCCAGCACTAGGGAGGCTGAGGCAGGAGGATTGTTGTGAGTTCGAGGCTAGCCTGGGCTACATAAGCGTTCTAGGTCAGTCTCAACTACATAGTGAGACTCTGTCTCAAAACAAAAACAAAAATCTATTAAGACTTACAAACCCAACATCAATAATATACTCACCAGTAATTGCCCCATTCAATCATGGTTCCTGGCTGAAGAGAGATTAGATTTTGATTTGTTAGTTCATCTGTGATAAAATATAGAAACAGGAATAAAAAGATGATTATACACTGTCTTCCTAGCTCCTAATGGGAGTGACACTTTATGGCTTCATGTAAGACAACTTAAGACATAATAGTAGGAGTTTTTAAACCAATTAAGGGTACCAAAGCCATTGTAGGCCAGGCGTGGTTACTCGTGTCTGTAATCCCAAGACTCTGGGAGGCTGAGGCAGGAGGATTACAAGTTTGAGTGCAGCATGGGCAATTAATTACTTAGCGAGATCCTGTCTCAAAGAAAATAAAAGGGCTGGGGACATAGCTCAACGCAAAGGCCCTGGATCCAACCCTCCCCACACACCCGCAAGACCCCGAACCACATTTAGGTTTATCCTTCTGAAGCACCAAAGGACATCGCTTCATCTTTTGTCACTCCAGAGGCAATGACCACAGTCCACTGAGCATGTGTTTTAATGATGCTGCTACTCAACTGTCACAATATTTATGAGTTGCTCTGATTCAACTGTAACAGATTCTATAAACTCTGCTTAATCCTACTCTCGAGATCTTTTGTCTTAAAAATAAAATGTTATTTAGAAAAAAAACAAAGACTAAATATATGTAAGATCACAAAGACAAAAGAGCTTAGCAAAGGAAAGGAATAAGGGAAAAAGGAAACAAGGGAGGAGCTGCACAGGGAGAAAACAAGTCCAATCTGAGTATAATGTGTAGCGCACGAAGCCAACTGCCCTCGAGTCCTGGCATTGGCGTGAGGCCATGCCTGTGCTTTGTCACAGAACAGGGGACTTACTCGGTACTTACTCGGAGCTGGTAAGACCTGAGTTCGTAGATGTTAGGTCCTGGTCGGGGGACAGGTTCATTCCAGAAACTGAACTCCAGGAGCAGCTGATTCTTCCGAGAGAGAAGCATGTTGCTTCTTGTCTTACGGAAATCCGCAAATTCCTTCAGGTGAAAAAGTGCGCTTAGGAAATGTTCCAGAACTTACATACAAAAACGTACTTTAGTAACAACTACACTCCCACAGAACTTGATTATAAATAGTCATTAGAAGGACCTGGTTGGCCTGCAACAATCCTGGTTTGTATCTGTTGAAGCAGCATAGTAACTTATAACTTCATTTCCACTCTCTATTGTCCAGGTTTGTTTGTTCACTTATTTATGTTGTTTTTTTGAGACAGAGTCTGGCTCTGTAATTCAGGCTGGCCTTGAACTCACTATGTAGCCCAGGTTGGCCTCAAACTCGCAGTGATCCTCCTGCCTCAGCCTTCCGTGTGCTAGGATTATAGGCGTGCACCACTGTGCCCAGCTCCTGTCCAGGTTTAGATGACAAATTGCATGGCTATCCCTATTTAAGCGACAAGGTAACCAAAATTAGTCTTCTCTATTTTTGGATTTCCCTAGCATATAAATAGAGGTAACATGATGACTACAAAATGGCAGACAACTCAAAAGGTATCTATATTGTTCTGGGAACAGACATAAGACTTCCTTTTGTAATGCTGTCTGGCTGTTACAGTTCCCTCTACTAGCTGGGCATGGCTACACAAACCGTAGTGCCAGCACTCTGGGAGGGCACCGGGATCATAAGTTCAAGCCCAGCTTGAGCAATTTAGCAAGGCTTTGTTTTAAAAAATAAATAAATAAAAGGAGGGGGTGCTGGAGTGATAGCTCAGTGTGAGGCCCTGGGTTCAATCACCAGTACAGCAAATAACAAAACTCTACTAACATTTACCTATCACTAAAAGGTGGGTAGGACAGCAAAGTCAGTCCAAGATAAAGAGCAGAAATGTGGCCAACAGTTCCTAAAGTAGACATGTTCAGTATTAGGTAATCCAGGCTGTGTCTACCATGCCGGTTTCAAAGTACAACTGACTTTTACAACAAGAACTGCTATTTGGATAGTACAAAAATGGTTAGTTTATGTTTAAACACAAAGTGAGAGTCCAAACGATAATCTCTCTATGACAAAAGTTGAAGATGGGCTGGGGATTTAGTTCAGTGGTGCCGCTCCTGCTTCCCAAGTGCAAGGTCCTGAGGTCCTGAGTTCAATCCCCAGTACCAAAAAAAAAAAAAAAAAAAAAAAAAAAGAAGAGTTTACTAAGAGAAACTGATGACAGAAAAGTCATCTAACCCTGGACTAATCAATCTCTCCTGCATCGTTAAGTTACAGTAAGCACTGCGCACAGCTTTTCAGTCTTTACCTGATTTCCTCTGAGTTTACTCATGACCTCCATGAGGGCGGGGTAGCCTCCTTCATACCTCCAGAGGTGAACTGAAATGCAGCGTGAGAGACAGTGCACAGTCAGAGACTCAGGACACTCTTACCTCACACACGCGATGCTAACAGTACAAACTGCAATGTGCCATGTGCTGGCCTATATCATAAAGCTCAAATAACAGACCCAAACTGAAAACAATTAAAAAGTAGGTTTTGGAGCGAATTATGGGAGAAACTACTTTAACCATAAAACGGTTCAGATATGGACAGCTTTGATTATAAAACGAGCATTAATCAGAAAATCATTTAAGTGATTATAAAAATGCTAAGGAAGAAGCATTTATTCCAAACTTCTGCTCCCTACCAGCTTGATCCTGCTCGCCATACCACGTGTTCCAAGTTCCCACCAAAGTGCAAGGGTAATGTTTATCTTCATGAACCTTTGGTAACATCTCTTGACTTAAAGAGAACAAACAGAAACTAATTAAACAACCAAAGAAACTGATCAGTGGACAACATAAAGTAGTAGTACCAGGAACAAGAACAGTTCTGGCAACTCAATTCAGAACACATTCATGATAAAATGATGTGCAGAACTAATCTTGGGGCTGAATTCTGTCGCAATCTAACACCCCACTTATTAGCAATTTCGGCTTCAACCCCAACTGTCTAGAAGAGTTGTAAGCAACTCAGGTAGTGATAAAAATGATGAGAAAAGAGCCAAAGGTCTCAAGATTGCAGGAGCTGTAGGACTATGATTTCCATTTCAGGGGGAAAGAATTCTTTAAAAACTTTATCAAAGGAAGAAGGATAATTACTTAGTACTGTGATGTTTTCAAAAGCTAAGTTTTGCTGATTCTGAAGATAAAAAGGAATACACAGGAATAGGAGAAAAGAACAAGGGTGAAATAAGGGGAAGAAAATAATGATGAAAACAGAGGCAGTCAACAGAGCAGCAGGCTGAGGTAACAGGAACAGAGAACAAGGAAGCCTAAGGAAGAAGACAGGGACAGGACAGCAACCCCACTGCCGGGAGTACCAAGGGTGGCAATGGGACTTCGGCAGCGTGGTGGAATCAAACAGCCACAACGAAGGGTGAATTAGGTTCTGCTCAGTTTGACTGGCTGAAGGATTCCCAAGGAATATGCAGTCCTCCTCGAACACAGGGCACGTGATGACCACTGGCTGTACAGGGGCAGGGATGCAGCCCCCGTTGCGGCGGGGCATCAGTGTGACGGAGGGTGGCATCAGCGCTTAGTTCCACGGGCCCCTACTTATGGTGTAGAGTCTAACATTCAGGGACAGGAAAGGGACATGGAGAAAACCTCAGACCTGCACAGGTTTTTTTTTTCTTTCTTTTTGGTGCCGGGGATTGAACTCAGGACCTTGTGCATGAGAGGCAGGCAGTGGAACCACTGAGCTAAACCTCTGGCCCCTTAGACCTGCACAAGTTTTCAAAAGAAAAATTACGATGATACAGTATCTATTCAACAATGTGTCAAAGCTGAGAAATGGAAGCAGATCACATCCAGCTGGTGACCACCGCCAGACGCTGGGGTACCAGGATCAGGTACACACAAGGAGTTTACGGAGCCCAGATCTAACCGAAAACTTATGCTTTTTAATAGTCACATCTTTTTCTGAAGAGTGGTGTTTAATTTAAAATTAAAATCTGAAGGGCCAGGGATTTAGCTCAGTGATGCTGCCACCTGCCTCACAAGCGCAAAGTCCCAAGTTCGATCCCTGGTAAACCCTCCCAAAAAAGGATACTTAAAATGAAGTTCTGATATTAAATGTACACCCCAAGCATAACCCAAGAGTGTTGAGAAATAATGGGGACTGATGAAAATCAGGGTTCAGAGATGAAAATGGGTTTCTTTTTGGCCACATGACAAGAGCAAGTGTAGAAGACATCAGGACACACGGCCTAGGTGGGATCCACAGAGGCAGGGGGAGTCTGCTGGTGGGTCCTTGGCTTTTCACCAAGACCAAAGTCATGTGTTGGAGTTGGAGTCAAACCCAGCCAATCCTCTTTGCTGGGGGCCCCAAACCTGTTCCTTCCAGCCCTGGCCTTACCTGAGAGGAGGTTGTAAGGCAGGCAGAACTTGTACCCAGAACTTGATGGGCTGGGCAGAATCTCATTATAGGGGTCCCTAAAAACCAAGAGGAGTTCGGTCTTTATGTTCTGGAAACAGAGATGATGAAAGTTTCAGAGAAAAGAGGAAACCTGACGAGGGAGGAAACAGAACGCAAAAGTCAACCCAATATACTTTTGGGTAAAGGGGTAGGGTGGGATACAGAGACAAGCTCAAAGAAAGGAAGCTGGAAAGGAGGTTAGATTGGGAATGGGTAGACAGGCTTGGAGAAGGAGACAGAAGGAAACAAGCAAAGAGAATCCAAGTACTGTACAATGAAGAATGCCTGATCCCTAGTGACCAGCTAATCATGAAGAAGTGAGGAAAGGGTAAAGTAATACATACAGACCAGGAGCTGAAAGAGCAAGGTGATTCTATGTGCAGAGTTTAGAGCGAGAGCAGAACATTCAAATACAAATATGAATAGATACCCAGAAATCTAAAATGGGAGACGAAGTGATAAAAGCAAGACAAGAAAAATAATCCAAAGAAGCATTAGCATAGAGAAAACTTTCATTTCCTAAGACTAAGAAATAAATATGTATTTTGTTTTAGGTCATTTTAAAATAAAATAAAACATGTCGAGATGAGTAAGAAATTGTAGCCAAATGTTATATTTGACAAAACCCTCTCCAACAATAAAGTAGTAAAACAACAAAAGGTTATAGCTTCTGAAATTTTGCTGATTCTATTGACAGAATCAGTTGCCTTCTCATGAAAATAGACAGTAAAGATTAAAAAAGTTTTCATTGTATTAGCTCACAACTGATCATTAAAATACTGTTTTGCTAACTCCAACTAAGAACCGATGAGTTAAATTCTCTCTTTAGTCTTTTATTTTTGGTACTGGGGATGGAACCCAGGATCTTGACCTTGCACGGGTGCCACCGAGCTACATCCCTGGCCCATTCTCTCTTTAACATTAAATTTATGAATTTTACCAGAGGGAATCTCCTATCATATAATCAGCTCTAGGGACTTGGTTTCTGGAGAAGGAAAGACTTAGGAGGACAGCTACATTCAAATACATACCAGACTGGTTTTACTCAGGAGTAAAACTGGGAACAAAGGAGGTAACAGGAATATGGATTCTGATTCCTGACACTCCAAGCTGTTCAGCGATGGGATTTATGTAAGCATGGGCAGAAAGGAGGGTCTGCAGAGAGGACTCATTCACTCCTGAGCAGATGGGCTAGAATGTTTCCCAAACTTCTTTCCAACCTCAAGAGTCCAGAAACATTCCAAGGTTTGATAGACTGGGTGATGATTTAGCTGCGTGAGTGCTTAAAATAAAAATGGCAATCCCACCCAGAAACTCGGTTTAAAAAGCCTCTGAAGGAGATAAAATATCTGAGACCTGGCTATCAAGTGAGAGCTGAACTAATATAAAATTTTAAATCATCAATTCCCCAAGGAAAACATAGCTTGGCATACACACCAAATTTTGTTGTATTCTTCTAGGCATTCCGGCTTAACGTTGTGAACTGAAACAAAAGAAAATCCGACCATAAACTCATGAACAAACAAACAAAACCAACCAGGAAGGTAGCAAACTTGTTACTCACACTGTAACTTGTACAGACTGCTCGTTTCCTTTTTGGCTAGGAGATTTGAGTGAGCATCTTTTCTCGGATCAACTTTCCTGACAAATAAGGATTTTAACCAGCTGTCTTCTCGAGGTCGGTTACTGGAAGATGTCAGTTTCCTAACAGAAGAGCAAATACAATGATGGGAATCAGTCTACGCAGACTCCACGCCCTCCAAACAGTGGGAGCTGGGACAGTGCACACAACTCCTAATGCTCCCGAGAGACCCCACGTTTATCTCAGCAATTTGCACTGATTTGGATATTTCTGTGTCCAAAGCATAGAAAAAAAAAATCTACATCAATTAGACAACCAAATTGGGATGCTGGCTGGAGGGGGTGAAGAAAGTACAGAATGGGCAGTTAACGGTTGGGGGTAGTTTCAGTTTAAGAAGATGAAAAACGACTGAACATGAACAGTGGTAAAGGCTGTGCAACAATACACATATACTTAATGTCACTGAATTGTATACTTCAGCACTGCTTTTTTTGTTGGTACTGGGGATCGAACTTTGGTCCTTATGCTTATGAGGCAGGCGGCGGAACCAATGAGCTAAATCCCTGGCCCAGAACTGTATACTTAAAATGATTAAAAGCATAAAGTTTGTGTTATGAACTTTTTTTGGAGACAAGATCCTGTTATGTAGTTCCGATTGGCCTTGAACTCATTATGTAGCTCAGGCTGGCCTCCGGCTTGCTGAGATCCTCCTGCATCAGCCTCCAGAGTGCTGGGATCACAGGCATGTGCCAATGCAAATTTTCCCATGATTTAAAAAAATATCTGATTTGGAAACAGTGGTAATGGTTGTGCAACATTGTGATTGTAACTACTGACAGTAAATTATACACTTAAAAATGGTTAAAACAGGGGCAGCAGCAAAGCTTTTGCCTAGCATGTGGAGAGGTCCTGGATGTGACCCCCAAGTGCACCCCAAGGATAAATTTGGCTGACTCAATCATCTACACTTTAACCATGGATTTTAAAATGTATGTTTAACTCCCATACATATGCTTGCTAGTGAGAATACAAACCTGTACAATCTAGAGGACAGTGTGACATTACCAATGTCAAAACTGAAACTGTGACATTTGGCCAAATAACCACACTATGGTTCTATCCTGCAGGCAGCTATATTTAGATAGGTGCACAGGGTTGAATGCACCAGAACATTCTGTATTGTCCTGTTTCCAGTTTTTCCTAATACAGGCAATCTGGATATCCATTAGTACAGATTGGCTAAATAAATTAGGGAATACCCAGAGCAGAAAATATGTACTCATTGAAAAGAAAAGAGACTGCTCTACATGCACTGATGTGCTGGTATCTCTGAGATAAATTATGTGGGAAGACCAGGCACAGGACAGAGGCACGTATTCACATGCAAAGCAAACTGTAAGTTGTGATCATATCTGGGGACTGCGATTGGGCTTGGAGTAGGAGTAAAGATTTTTTCCCCCAGGACCAGGGATAGAACTTAGGACCCTGCATTTTCAAGGCAAGCGTAGCACCACTGAGCTAAATCCCCAGGCCCCAACATTTTTACTTTTTAATGCACTGATGCACTATGTAAAAAAATTCAATATTATTTTTATAATTAAAAATTAGCTAAAATACCTAAAAAGTGCATGCTCTGAAATCCTTCTATATGTAAGGTAACTCCCTATAACCACTGAAAACAATATTTAGGAAATTCAAACCTGGTCAAGACTCCCTCTTTCTCACTTTACATAACTATGATCAAATAAACTGTCTCCTGTCTTCATTTTTGTTTAAACTTACATACAATAAACCACACTTCTTTTGTATACAGTCCTGTCTTAACAAATGAATAAAATCACATAATTCTCACTATAAGATATAGTTTCTTCAATTTCCAGAATTTCTTTTTGTAATCAGTCCTCTCCCTAACCATGGCAACCACTGCTGTTCTGTGCCTATAGTGTTGCCCTTCCAGAATGTCCTGCCATACAGAATGCAGCCTTCTGAGTTCAGCCCCTTACAATTAATTCCTGGCCTTCATCTCTAATTGGAGTTATCACAGTATACTTTTTAGAGTTCTGATCTTTGACCTATACAAAAAAACCTCTTCTGTTCTTTCCTAGACAGTAATGTGCTGGGGTTCCAAATGGCCAAGACACACACTCAGTCAGTGCTTCAAAAACAAAGTTGGAATGCTGACAGGCCAGTGCAAATTCATTCCCCGGGATCGCTACAGAAACACTGGATGATTTTCAAAAGACTCATTGTAATCTGTGCAGCACATCACCATTACCAGACAGATGTAGGCAGAAGACAGACAGTAACCTCAGAACAATTCTAGAGGGGGACCAGCAATTTAGACAGGGACAAGGAAAATTCATTAGGGCAAATTCCCACTGCTTCGTGAGATGAACCTTAAGATTTCACACTAGAAAAAATAAATCCCTGTTCTTATTCAACTACACTATTCTGGAAATAACAGTACCTAAATTTTACTAACTGGCATCTTTTGTGTATGTGTGTGTGAGTGTGTGTCTGTGTGTGTGTGCTTAAAATAGTAACTAACGGCTTTACTGAACAAATATTACAATTTCTTCCTTGTTAAGACGTCTTTTAACTTTTTTTCCCCCGGGACCCCGGATCAAACTCAGGACCTTGCACTTGCCAGGCAGGCATGGTGCCACTGAGCTACATCCCTGGCCCCCTTATGAGATGTTCTTTTATCTATTTAGTACCAGGGATACAACTCAGGACCTTATGCTTGCCAAACAGGCGCCACGCTGCTGAGCTACATCCCCAGCCCCTTGTTCTTTTAAGATAATAATTCATAAAGAGCCAGGTGTGGTGGTGCACACTTGTATTCCCAGCTACTCAAGAGGCTGAGACAGAAGGATCACAAGTTTTTGGTTTTTGACAAAGGGTCTCACTATGTAGTTGAGACTGACCTGGAACTCACTATGTAGCCCAGGCTGGTGTTGAACTCGCAGTGATCCTCCTGCCTCAGCCTCCCGAGTGCTGGGATGACAGGCGTGTGCCACCACGCCCGGTGGGATTACAAATTTGAGGCCAAAGGTGCTGATTTAGGGATACCCTGTCTCAAGAAAAAAAAAAATTGAAAAAGGTGTGGTGGGGATATAGTTCAGAGCAGAGCATCTGCTTAGCTTGGGCAAGGCCCTGGGTTCAATTTCAACTACCATGAAAACAAAGAGACCAAAAACAATTCACAGGATAATATCTCAAATAGCTAGAAACCCAGATAAAAAGATTTCTAAGTGATGTGAATGTGAACTTATAAATACACAAACAAAAATGCCACTTTAAAATCAGTAATGTTTCTTATAGTAATCAAGAAACAAAACATTTTTGAATCTTTTTTTTTTGGTACCAGGGACCGAACTAGGGTCCTTGTGCTTGCGAGGCAGCCAGCAGAACCACTGAGCCAAATCCCTGGCCCTACATTTTTGAATCTTTCAAAGATTAGAAAGCAGAAAATTCACACTAAATAAGCGAAACAATAAATTAGTACCAGTACAATACCAGTGCAAATTTTCTTATAAAGTGGGCAGGACAAAGCTGGGGGTGGTGGCTCATGCCTGTAATCCCAGCACTCAGGAGGCTAAGGCAGGAGGATCGCTGTGAGCTGGAGACCAGCCTGTGCTATATAGTGAGTTCCAGGTCAGTCTCAACTACATAGTAAGACACCGTCTCAAAAAAAAAAAAAAAAAAGTGGGAAGAACAAAAACACAGTCTTACACAGCATATGTAAGAGAAAGTGAGGATTCTGTTACCCCCAACCATCAAACTGCAATTCTTTGGGCAGCAGGTGTCAGGCAAATAAAGCTTCATTTAGCTCAACATGCCAGGTGCATCTTGGCTGTCTAGCCAGACCCATGGAACAAGGTGGAAGCAGCTATACCAACAGCTGCCAGTGATAAGATCCAGCGAGGCATGAGTTCTTCACTGACAGTGACAGTCACCAAGGTCAGGAGTCTTTATAACATCACACATATGCTGGGTGGCACTTCAGAGCAGGGAGAGAGTAGCACATCCTACCACACACCAGAATTGCAACAGAGGCACATTATGTGCCGGCTTTGTGGGCATTAAAGTGGACTGGGTGCTGAGCTGGTTCAGTTTTGTGGGGGAAAACCCCTCAGTACACACCACGGAAATCACAGGTGTTGTAGAAGCAGAAAGACACCATGCACAAGCTCAAGGGAACAAAGGGACCACTGGCTTGCAAATGCATCTGGAGTGAGGGTATCCAGGGGAGACCCTGCCATGCTATCCTGGGGGACAAGCAAGGCAGGTGACAAGTCCAGTCAAGGGCACATGTACCCAGGGTGATTAATCTGTGTGAATGTTAAATAAAAAAGTATTACAGTAAATCATATTGCCATTTATCCTCCTCAAAGTATCCCTCCTTGTTTCAACACACTCATCCCACTTTTGGAGGCAATTCTGGAAGTCTTATTTCATGTCTTTTTTCCCCCCCAGTACCAGGGATCAAACACAGGACCTTGCGCTTGCAAGGCAGGCGTGGCACCACTGAGCTACATCCCTGGCTTTTCCTTAGCGTCTTAATGCGGTGTGGTGAATGCTGCTGCTGAGTGCCATCCAATGGAAAGGCAGCTTGTAGAAACTCGACACTGTGTCCCTGTCCACCTTATTCACTGGAGCTAGCACCGAGAAACCTCTAGCTCTTTCCCGGGGCAAAATGGCCATAAAAGGAAAACATGCTGAATCAATTCAGGACATGAGGCAGCCACAACAGCACAAGGAAGACACCAGAGCAGCTGACTTCTGGCTACAAAGGGTTCTGCAGCAGGGAGAATAGGGAAAGCTGGATGAATGAGCTGTGAAGTGGGGTGCAGTGGGCAGGGTGGTCAGGCTCCTGCGCACCACGCCAATCAGCTGGGCTTCACCCCAAACAAGGTGCAATACTCAAGTTCTCAAAAAGTGTAGAAAGCAGCCTAGTAGTGGTGTGGGAGACGCCAGCAGCAATTCAGGCAAGGAGCATAGTTCCTGGGCTCCCTACTGTCACAGTGCCCGGCACCAGGTATAAAGCAGGCATTCAATAAACTCACTGGATCGGTCGACAGAGAGACCAGGGCCAGGAAGAATACACTCAAAAGATACTCCTGAGGTGAGGAGGAGAGGAACCGGTCCTGATCGGGGGTGGAGGTCAGTGCTAGGGTTTAGGCAGCGCAAATCAAAGGAAAAATACATCAAGATAGGGCTGAGGTAGCAGAGCAGGCTGCATTCATCTGATCCTCAACTATTTACTCTGTGCACAGCACATGCAGGCACTGGGCCAGGCTGAGGACTCAAGATGAATAAATTCAGCCCTGTCTTCCAAGAGCTGAGCTCGCTGGTGGGAGCAGAGACAATACCATCCCAGCCCCTGTGAGTCAAAATGCGGTGGCTGTGGTGGAGGCAGCGGAGACGAAGTTAGCCTGCAGGAGAAACCCAACAACTAAAAGAAGAACTCAGAGACTGAGTTTTCTTCCGTCATCTCACTTAACCTTCAAGCAGTACTGGCCTAGTTGTTGCTCTCCTAGAAATACCCCAGCTGCCGGCAACTGTCAATTCACAGTGACCTTGCTGGCTGCCTTATTCTGACCGCCCTGTGAAGGCTGGCCCATCTCAGGGCTTGTTTCTCAGCCTCTTCCCGATCCATGTTCTCTCCACAAGTGATCTCATCCACTCCTACTGTGTAACAAACACGTGTATCTCTCATTACATACGGGCATCTCTATATGCTGACATCTCCCACATATTGCCCGCAGCCCAGACACCTCCTTTGGGGAGTCACAGCCAACTGCCTATTTTGTTCTTCCAAATAAACATCCTGCAGCCATCTCAAACTTTACAGAGTTCTAAACTGCTCTTCTTCTCTCTGAATGACTGTATTAGCAAGCTCCCAGATAGCACTGTGTACCTTACTCACTGTTACGGTTTGGGTCAAGAATGCCCCCGAAGGCCTCATTCACCCACAGGTGGAATTCTGGAAGGTGACTGTGTTATGTGTTACAGGGTGAGAATGCAGCAGACTTGCTATCAGGAGGCGCTCACTAGGGTGTGACCCATGAGGGTGCGTCCCCCTCCCCAGCTCTTCCCTTCCCTCTGCTTCCTGGCCACTATGACATGTACAGCTGTCCTCTGCCAGGGCCCTTCCTCCGTGCCACTTCTGCCTGGAGCCAGCCAACCATGCAAGGGCTGAGACTACTGTCAATGAGCCAAAATCAACTCTCCTCCTTTAAGCTGTGGGCGCCAGGTATTGTGTCTCAGGACAAGGAAAGTGACAAAGACATTTACTGCTGTTTCCCCACAGAGCCTACCATAAGGTGGACGCTTACATACTGATGGAACAAACGACTCTTGGTGGCATGAACATCCTTTCACGTGGCCATTCCCCATGACTCTCTTCCCTCTCCACTTTTTTTTTTTTAAAAACACAGATCACATCATGACCACCAGAGGTTATGCTTTTATGTATTTTCCATCATTCTCAGAATAAAAAATCCAAGCTTGCCATGACCATCCACAAGGCTGGAATTACCTGGCCCACGTTCTTTACCCTCTCTCCTTCAGCAGCTTTTCCTTCAAAGCTGTATTCCAAGCTCTTAAACTTTTCCCTGGGTTTCTCCGTATGTCTGACTCCCTCCCACTCAAGGTGTTCTTACATACCGTTCACTTTTTTTTTTTTGTACCAGGGGTCAAAGTCAGGACCTTGTACTTTCGAGGCAGGCAGCGACACCACTGAGCTAAATCCCTGGCCCAATGTCACCTTCATGAAGAGGTCTTATATGAGCTAAAGGAGGGTTCCCACGTACCTGATCTGTAAGTTTACGTGTGTTTTATCTCTTCACAACTTCCTGGGAATAATGGCCATGGCTCTTAAGCCCAATTCCACAGAGCTTCAAGTACATATCACACATTCAATATTGGGTAGCATTGGTGAATTCACTGAATCTAGTTGAGTCCTAGAGAATACCTACATTAAGGCTGATGGGAGGCCAGCAAGTAATAATCAAAAAGCACAGGGGACATGACAGAGGCATCAAAGAACAAATGGGTCACACAGAGATAAGGAGTTCAGTATCAACCCCCATCAGGAAGTAAGGGTATTGGGTTCCATCTCCTCATTTCTATATGCACAGACTACTTACTTCTTACTATTGCTATTTCTGCTGGGCATGGTGGCTGCACCTGTTATCCTCAGCATATTCTAGGCAGCTGAGGCAGGAGAATGGCAGGTTCTAACAAATTTAAGACCAGTCCCGGCAATGTACCAACTTAGGGAGACCCGATCTCAAAATAAAAAACGGGCTGGGATGTACGCCATGCCCAGGCCAACAATACTCAGGACTGCCAACAAAATAAAGCAAAAACAAAAACCCACGCATATTCTCTTAAGTTCTCTGGCCCATAGTAAGAGTTTAATGCTGGGCTCAATCCTCAGATGCCCTCCACAAGAGAATTTAAGTTTCTTTGCTCTTCAAGTGTCAACTACTGTATATTTTTAGAGGCTCATTAATTCACTGCCACCAAAATAGGCAGGATTTACACTGCCCAAAGGGAGTGGGGGATAAAAGAAAAAGAAAAAAACAGATCTAAGGGTCAATGGGGATGGGCTCTGGTTACTGAACGTGGCAACGTCAACGTGATGAATTCAGACAATTGAACCCCTACTTCAAGGAGATCCAAGGAAGTTTAAAAACGAGCCAGTGTCTCCCGAGCGCCGGGATCTCAATGCTCTAAGATCCGCCGTCTGCTTTAATGTCCGAGCCGGAGACGGGTCGTGCTCCTCGCCCCGGTCTCCCTCGGCTGCTGCGCCCCGGGAACGGCGCGTTATTTTGTGTCTTCTTCACGGCACCCCGACAGGCGCGGGTACGAGTCCCGTCGCCGGCGGCCAGAGCGCGTGCC